TGCAGAGCAAGAGGCCTCGGCAAGATGCCTGGGCGCCTTTCTCGTCTACAGAAAACAGCGGGAATGGCAGAGTCGGCCAGCTACTTCGGAGGAGGAGCACCACCGACGACACGTGGAAGAGGTAGTAGCATGCAACACGAGTGGCAAGTTCGAGCGGTTTGGCGACGGAGGCATCGCATTCGTTTGCGACTTTTGCGACGGCCATCTTGTATGGGAGGACTTGGAGAGCATGCCATCTTTACGGACAGCCGAAGAATCCAGCACGCGCCCAGTACCGCCTATTTCGCCTACGACCGGGATGCCAAATTGGCAGGCGACCGGGTTCACCGCCGATAAACGAAGAGAGGAGAAGACGGTCATATTTGCGCCTCTAGCAATAGCGAATCATATGGCGCCGTATCAGGGAGACTGGGTAGCTCGTCTCCTATGTCCTTTCTGCGATGAGGCGCCATGTACCGAGGCAGGCGGTGATAGCGACGATGAAATGCGGAATGCCCAGGACGAATCCGGTTTCGAAGATCTCCAGGCCTTCCAGGAGCACCTGGAGTGGCAACACACAGCTGCATCGATACCCGCCGTCCCCTTGCCCAAGGCAGCCAAGGACTGCGTGGTGATGTGACATCATTAATTCGACAACGATGTCTATTGGTGGCGTAAAAACGGCGGTTCGTTCGTTCGTGTACATATATTCACATTGTGTGGTCTTGACAATGGCGAGGCGTTGGGGGCTTCCAAAGAGGGCGGACGATGTCTCATCCGCACCTACGACTTATGGAATTATTATTTACTTTACTCGATGTCAGAAGGCTTTCCACCTCCTCAAATGTTGGGGATGGTCCTCACCACCGGTCTGGACAGACCGATGCAGCAACAGAGATACCACAGTCAGGTAGTGCTGGATCACAATCCACATTCAAGACGCAAAAACCAATTCTTGTTTCGTTGCCCCTCTCCGTCTTCCCCTGCATCCGCCTGAGAAGTCCGTGCCGTAGTTTGATTGATGTACATGAATCAAGAAAGATATACACAGTCGCCAACATAACGCCCAACATCGTCAAAGAACCTTTGCCATTCTCAGGCCAAAGGATCCAATACCCCCAAAGGAAGGGAAGCAAACCGTTCCTTGTCCTCATTTGCACCGCCAAAGGAGGCAAACCAAACCCCGTCCCTCACTTTAGAAGAACCGCCACCAAAAGAAGACGATAACAATGAACCCCAGCGCTCCGAGGGGGCCGTACTGCTTGAGCAGCAGCTCCCAGTTGATCCTCACAGCGGCGCGCCTGTACTTTTTGCTGTCGTCGCGCAGGCGGGAGCTGAGCTCGCCCATGCGCTCGAGGGAGTCGCCGCGGTACAAGAGGTCCTCAATGTTCTTGGTCATGACTTTGGTCACGTCGCGCAGCTCGTCGTTGAGCTTGTCGAGGTTCTGGGAGGCGCGGGCGTCCGAGTAGGTTGATTTTGTGCGGGAGATGAAGGTGTCGAACTCCATAAAGGCGTAGGGGCGGAGGGAGGGGGAGTGGAGCTGGGAGACGGGGTAGGTTGTCGTGAACTCGCGGGCGAGGTCGGAGAGGTAGGTGAAGGCTAGCTTGCGCGGGTAGGATTTGTCTGTTATGCAGATGAAGGTGATGTCCGAGTCCATTAGGTAGCTGTTTTGGACACAAAGGTTAGCAAGAGTTCCTTCTTCTTCTTCTTCTTCTTCTTCTTCTTTCGACTGGCTCCTCTCGGTGTAAAAGGGGTAGACAGGAGAGGGGTAGACGGACTTCAGGTTGTAGGCGCCGCTTTCGATGCTGGCTTGGGGTTCCGAGTTACGGGTGAGCTTGCGTAGGACTTGCTTGATTTGCGACTTGACTTCGGAGAGAGCTGCTTCTTGTTGCTCGTCGTCGACGGAAGCGCAGAGCATGAGGCCTGGGGAGCTGGGTGTTAGTGAAGGGTGGCTTTTGGTATGTGGATGGGTGCGCGCGCGCGCGTCCGTACCGTCAAGCCTTGCTATTTGAGTTGAGCGGATCATTGTGTGTATGTGTTTGCTTGCGTGTGGTATTTGGAAAAGTATTTGTCGTCGTTCGTAGGTCAAGAGGGTAGGTATAGCAAAGGAGCTGTCGACGGTGGGTTGGTGTTGTATCGACGTGTCCTCTGAGGTAGCTTCGATGCCTATTCTTAGGCTATCCGGATGCGCGGGTTGACGAGAAGTTGTACTCGAGTGGCTTGGTATCTCCGACTGGGTTGATCAAGTCACGGGCACTTTTTCGAAGTACCGTTAAGATATTCGTTGTTGTGTCCTCTTTTTCGAGCCAGGGGTGGTCGCTTTTTCGCTAGCAAATAAACCAAAAACCAAGGATCGCCGTCGACAATATGTCCGGGATGTAATAGGGACGGGAGCTCTCCACGTACTAGTATTGAAGATGACACCATGGGCGGTCATCACTGGCCAATTGGAGGGCTTACGCGGGGGCGTAGCCCCTGCGCATTTGGTGGTCGATGTGGCGCCCATGGCTCGGTCCATCCAGCCTTGTTTAGGTACTGCGTACTGAGAGCATGTTACTTTTAGGGGGACCATCCAACTCACTCAGTACTCTGCTCTCATGGGTTCTTCTTCAACTTTAACCACCTCACTTACACACATTTGAAGGGAGGTGCGGCGGGAACATAAACTCCCTCCGCCATATCATTATCTGGCACAAACCACCTGGGCTATTCCAAGACCTCGGGGTTCCATGATAAGGACTCGATTGCTCTGTTTTTAAACTGTTTAGGGCGCTGTAGTCTCATCTTTGTTATTGATGTTAGAGTGTCGTTTGTAAGTTCTCAACATGTGTTTACTACCTTATTATCTCATGTCCGGAAACCGCTTTGTGGGAAGGAACAATCAGCAAAGGAGGTCCTTCCCATGTTATCAAAACTGCGACTGTGCCTTCCAGAAACGACATGATTCTTTCACCAGGACTTTTAATAGCACAGGTCTTTGAATTCCTTTTGGCTAATGCCCAGTTCAGGAATCTTTCCATGGACATCGTAAACGTGAACCGGCAAACATCCTCCATCCACCCGGCCACTCACTCAAAATGGAAGGGGTCGCATCCGATATAGAGATGGCAGACGCCTGCGCTCCATCCTCGTCCTCATCCTCATCCTCTGGCCTCTCCCCTCCGCCCACCTACAGCTCAGACTACGAGGGACTTCCCCAAAAAGCTGAGAAAGATTCTTCCAAAGAGATTGTCAAAGAGACTGTCGGCTCTCCCAATGCGCGGGAAGACGCGGAATCAGAAGCTATCAACACACAACTTCCCGGCACAGATCTGCCCAACATGGCTCGACGTTCGGCGCGCAACTCGAGTAAGCCCAAGCCCGCGACTGCTTCCCCGCCAAAAGTCACCAAGAGAAAACAGCCTACCAAAGTGGTACCCAAGAAGGGCCCAAAATGGACAACGCAGAAGCTCTTGACGGATCCCAAGTCGCCGCTTGCCAGCGCGGATCTGAGAGTAAGTGAACCGTCGCAGCTTAGAAGGGATGATTTTATGTCATCCCAGAAATTCTTGTCTCGATTCTAGTACGCTAACTTACCGCGACTCTCTCTAGGCGATACTCTGCCAGCCAGCGGCATGGGACATACTTACGAAGGAGGAGCGTGCCGAGATCGTCAGCCTCTTCCCAGCCGGCCCGCGTATCATCGACGCCGGCACCGACGAAGCCCGCCCGGATTTTGACGCACTTCGCAATAACAACAACTTTCGCCACGACTGTGCCACGTACGCCGACAACATCTCCCAGGGCAGGCACGACCCTGAGTGGCTCGAGCAGGCGTGGGTTGCGCGCGAGCGGCGGCGGGCGGGCGACTTTGACGACTATGTCACGCAAAAGTTTGAGGATGAGTGGTCGTGCAAGGTGCCAGAGGGCTTTAAGCCAAACAGAAGTGGCGATGCACCAGGCCCCGCTGCGCCTGCGGAAGCTGGAAAGGCCCATGTCGAGCAGATGGAGGGAAATACCGACCAGACAAAGGGAGATGTTATCGACAAGGTCCAGGTGGAAGCAGAAGCCATCAAACAAGTGACGGACACGAAGGCTGCGGACACGACGGGTGACGCTAATACGGCAGAGGATAACGATGCGAGAGAAGCACCGGGCGTCGCACTTGGGTCTCCTCTTCCTGAAGACATCTCATCAGCAAAGATTGGCACAGCTACTACCGAGATCTCCCTCGAAGAGCAGGTGCCAGAATCCTCGGAGGTGCCACTTGGAAGCGTTTCTCCTGACAATTCATCCCAAATGGCCAATCACCAAAACCCGAGCAAACAGACAGAGAAGCAGAAGGGAAAGAAGCCGGTAATTACAGAAGGAAACTAACAGAAGCTCATCCGAGGGAAGCATTATCGTGCTGGCGAGGCTCAAGAGGGTGTGAAGGTGCCGGAGCATCAATGCTGAGAGCTGCCGATGGGAGATACATACAAACGCATTTGTCTGTATTCAGCATCACGAATCATGATTCATGAAAGGGAATGGAATTTGGGCATATCGGAGATACCTATTTGTTGGGCGACACGAAATCTTCTGGATTGTCGGCTGGAGGCGGGCTTTCTTGAGTAGGGCCTGATAGCTATGGAATCTAGCAGTATGATCCAAGCCACTTCAAACCCGTCTTCGTGAAAAGGCGCATGATCACAACGGAAGATTCGATGTCGGCTTCGGTGAAACGGTCCTGGTGTTGACGCCCGATGGTGGTAGTCTCGGTCAGTGCCCCACATCACCGACAAACCCCAAATTGAGTGGGCGAAAAGCGTCCATCACAGAAATCGCACCTTGACAATCTTTACTCTCAATCATCTTACTACCTATCTCATGCGAGAAGGCTTTTCTTAGTGCAAGTCATACATATCACAGTCTAACAGGTTTACGTCTGGAAGAACATCAACGGCGAGAAGATTCGCGGTTCCAGGCTGTACCTTAGAAATTGCGCAGCAAATTCCCTCTTCCACAATATAGCAGGAAGATTCCTTCCAAGACCTGCCACGATGGCCCCCTCGGCGGAAAACCACAGTCGGTCACATAGCCTCTTACTATTCCAGAAGCTGCTCAACCTGAGGGATGGCGCGAGCCCTTTGACCTTGGTGCTGGACAGTCTCGAGCAAGGCGCCGCGCCAGTCCTTCGGGAGTTCGTCTCCAGAGCCAAGGTATGCGCTACTGATTTTCATGACTCTGTAGATAGACAATATGATTCCTATCCCCAAAAACACAATCATTAGTTTTGGTGTCATGATTCAAATATCTGGTATTAATGAAATATATAGGTTGCAAAAGCCAAAGTAATTCTGCTGTCTTTCGCGACGCTCAAACGCCCACGAGGCGTGGACGTCGTCGTCAGAGCCCGCGGCAAAACCCTCAAGGCCCTGAGAGCAGAGATTCTTTCACATTATCCCAAGATAGACCCTACGGCAGTCAAGGGTGCATCTCCGTCTCAAAGTGAGTGCTGTCGCACCCCCATCCTGTGACCTCCTCTTCATGGCCTCACCATAACATATCCACCCTCTGACTCACACATCTTCTCGTGACCAGAAACGGTAGTCCTGCTCGACTCCCTCAACGAGCTCGCCACAGCTGCGTCACAGGTCCTGCCCAGCTTCCTCTCCAGCATCATCATGCCCGCCGTGTCGCTGGTGGCCGTCTACCACACCGACGTGCCCCTCGTCCTCTCGCGCGCTGTGAGTGAATACGAGCCGCACCCACTGACGGTGCTCTCTCACTTGGCGACCTCGATCCTGAGGCTCTCGGGCCTAAGACAGGAGATTGAGCGCCAAAAGGCGCGGAACAGGAGTTTGCAGGAGCCCGAGTGGGGGCTGGGGGAAGGGCGGGAGGGCGTCCTCGTCGGGCTCAAGGGCGACGTCAAGTCTGAGGATTATCACGGCGTCGTGGTCGAGATGGAGGTCAGGCGGCGTAGCGGGCGGGCCATGGCGGAGAAGTTTGGTATCTTGCCACAGAAGTTACAGCAGGTTTCTTCCTCCGCCGCTTCTACTGCTGCTGCAAAGGGGTCGAGGATCTTCCTCCTCTCGGAGCACCCCGTTTTCGCTGCCCCTGAGGGTTCTGGAGAGGCAGAAGCAGGTCGCGGAGAGGATGAGGAGCCGGAGAGCACGTTCAACCTGGGTCTCACAGAGAAGCAGCGTAGGGACAGGGAGGGTATTGTTCTTCCTTACTTTGACGCCCAAACGGACATAGGGGCTGGCGAGGGTGGCAGGATCCTGTATGAGATGGGTAGGGAGGATGACTTTGATGACGAGGAGGATGAGATTTAGGCGGCCTTGCCGCAGAGGCAACACACGCTCTTACGATGATGATGATTTCTCTGACATACGCAACATGAAGGTGACATATTCCTGAGGCACCTGAAGAATGAACATGAAGCGCGGCTGGTTACGCATGAACTTTGGGGAGGTGAATGTAAGCTACCTTACCTTAGCCAGGCATCATCACGGATTGAGGCCGTTGCTAAGGCAGGCAGGCAACTGAGGCCAACCTGAGGTAGTGGTTCACCTGCCTTCCCCACTGAGGCCAAAACGTCAAACGGAAAGAAGCAGCGTCCCGCGGCTGCCTCCCATCACCAGGCATCAACCACCCGATGATCGAACTCACCAATCAAGAAATTCGATCCTGCCCATTAAATAATTCGGCACTCACCATGGAAGGTATCTCCAGTACGTATCTTTACTGATCGGGGGCCGTCGCACAGGCCATGCCCAAAATCTATAACAACCCCTCCTCCACCCACGACTTTTCACCTTTTCCTTCTTTTCTCCTTAGCTCTTCTTTGCCATTTTGGCTTAGATCAAGTGTAGTATCTGTTCTTTTCAGTTTAATATCTGAAAGTCTCCCAATGGGGGACAATCAATATTATTCCTATTTTTGATCTTCTCGGGGAGCGGTCCCTTTGGCTTGCCATATCACCGCTTCCCACCGTGTCCCTGGTATCACACTGCCTCCAGGCGACGCAAAAGGCTTGGTTATTTCATTGCTTGCTCTGGCTTGTCCAGGGCAGTGAAGAAGACGTCAAATGTTCTTGTTTTGTGTTGATTATGCTTCCTTGTCTGCTTCGAAAAGATGCATCACCCCGGTGGACGACAGCAGTCGATCTACGTGAAGTTACATCGTGATGTCTCAAGATTACCTGAACATGTCGTGGTGTTGCACCCAGTGAGCCCGCTAGAGCTTTCCAGTAAAGCTCAGTGGAGCTTTGCCCAGCGTTGTCCGACCACTGGGCTCCTGCAAGGCTCCCGCGCTAAAATTCGGGGGGGCGGAAAGCTTAAACTCTGCCCAATTAAGCAACCCTTCCAGGTGCCTGCCGAACATCAACCCATCAGAAGATTGCCATGCCCAAAATTTCCTCAGCCTCACAGTGACGTTATTTCAAGTCTAAATAGGAATTCCACACCACCAAGTATTTGTTTCACCCCCATCCCGGTCCAATTTCTCACGAACGCATACATAGAGATGGGTCGCGGACACGATAACAGACAAACTTGGGACGAGCCTGACCGTCGCAGTCGCCACGGCGGCGGCGGAGGAGGCGGCCCACGAGACCGAGACCGAGACCGCGAAAGCTACAGAGACCGCAACGGCGGCGGCAGACGAGACGACCGCGACAGGAGAGACGACGGCGCCTCCAGGCGATACCGCTCTCGATCCCGCGACCGCCGCGACAGAGATCACCGACCAAGATCCAGAGACCGCGAGAGCGGCGGCCACCGCCCCGGACGCGGCGACGATCGTGACGGAGGCGCGAGGCCGCCGCGCAGAGACCGCGGTGGTTGGCAAGGGCGAGATGATAGAGACAGCACCAGGCGGCGCAGGGACGATGATGAACCGGCAATGGACGAGCGGCCTCCGAGGCGGCAGTTTGGAGACGATGATGAGGGACACAGTAAGTTTTTTGCCCCTGGTTACTTGCTGTTTGACTTTTATTTGGTCGGCGCAATAGAGAGAGACTGGCTGACGTTTTTGTGGAAAAAGGTACACCACGCGACAATAGAGACCGTAGACGATCCGCCTCCCCACGCCGAAGCGGCAGCCCGCCGCAGCCTGGTGCCTCCCGCCGCGAGCACGGCGGCGGCGGCGGATACACCGAGTCCCTACCCACGCGCACGGTTCAGAGGGGGAAGAAGGAGCAGCAGCATACCATGTCCTTCAAGGTCGGACGACACGACTCGCCGCACTTTGACAGCGGGAGAGATAGTGAGCGTGGTGGAGATACACCGATGAGTGGTGGCGGCGGTGGCGGCGGACGCGGCCGAGACGATCGAAGCGAGGAGGATGACGAACCTGAGCCCGAGGTGGAGGACGACGATATGGCGGCTATGCAGGCGATGCTCGGCTTTGGCGGCTTCGGGTCGACAAAGGGCCAGAAGATTGCGGGAAATAACGTCGGGACTGTGAGGAAGGAGAAGAAGACGGAGTATCGGCAGTATATGAATCGGCAGGGCGGATTCAATCGGCCTCTCAGTCCTGGAAGATGAGTCAACTGCCCGAGAGCGTGTTAGGAATTGGTTAATGGGGGTAATGGTCATTTCAAGAGGATGGATTGGCTCGATGGAACAGCATGCCAAGCACGACCCCGTCATGATCGGACAGCACTAGGTATGCTTCACGCTTGTATTGATTTTCCCAGATACCTATAGATGATCGAGAACGAAAAAGACATTTACAACAGCAGAGCCCGTGCAGATCTGCTTGCCTCATATCAACTTGCTGCAGCTCAACCTGACGCGGTTGACGCGGGCGCAGGCGGCGTAGACTCCCTTGTCTTTCCCTCCTTGGCCTCGGCCTTGAGCTCGCTATCGAATATGTCAACAGCCAGACTCGCGTCCACAAAGTCCTCGAGCTCCTCCGTCACCGTCTTGAGCTTCTCCTTGACCGCGGTAGCGCCTTCGAACCCGACAATGTGTCTCGCCGGCGGGTTCTCGTGCCCGCCAATGGCCGTCAGGGCGTGCACCGTCTCCAAGACGAGGCGATCGGTGGCGCTGGGCGGCAGCTTCGGGTACCGCACCTGGACCTCGTCGGTCTCGTTGAGGTCGGGCACGGCGGTGTCCGGGTTCATGTTGAGGACGTTGCCGAGCATGTCGCGGACGCTGGGCGCCGGGTTGACCTCGGCGTCATACCACGGCAGCTGGGGTGCGAAGATGATCTTGTTTGTGAGAGATTGGATCTCCTTGTTGGGCTGCACGATGGTGACTTTGATGTTGAAGGGAGCAATTTCGTAGGCTAGGGAATCGCAGAAGCCTTCGAGGGCCCAGATGGCCGATGTGTAGATGGGCATCCCCGGTGTGCCGATGTGGCCGCCCGTACTAGAGAGGATGATGATGTGTCCCGTGTGCTGTGAGCGTAGCAGCGGTAGGGCGGCCTTGATGAAATTGACCTGTGAGAAGAAAATTGTCTCAAACTGGTCGCGGACTAGGTTCTGTGTCAGAGGATTCGTGGATAACTCCTCCACGCTCCCCACGACGGCTGTTTAAGGGGTTGTCAGCATTGTATCATTGTCATTCAACGGGGGCTCGTCATTAGATACCTTCAGATTTGCAACAGAGGAGGATGTCGATCCTCCCGAACACCTGAACGGCCTCGGCCACGGCGGCGCCGCACTGGCCCATGACGCGGCCATCGCAGCGGATACCACGTATCCTGTCCTTCCACCCTTCGCGGTCCTTACGGTTGCTCTTACACTCATTGATCAACTCTCTGAACTCGGCGCTGCGGCCGTCGTCCTCAATCTCGCTCGGTGGCAGACAGGCGACGACATAGTCTCCGTGGCCCAGGAGCAGTCTGATGAGCCTGATGATGAGCGGCGAGAGGGCTGTCGTCAAGAACCAGGTCCTCGGCGAGTTGTGCGTAGCTGAGGAGGGGGCGCATTAGCCAAGAGATGCGCTGCCAAGGAAAGCCGTGCTTGCTAGTGAAGTGAGGTGAGATACTCACGGAAAGACGCCGCGGGAATGGAATGGGAATGCTTCGCGGCGTCCGCCCCCTTGCGGTCCGCCATGCCCGGCGGCACTTCTGACAAATCCTCGTCCCTTGAGTACGCGAATCAGCACACGAAGACAAACGCGATACTACTACACAATGTACAGAAAGACAAATGAAGAAGCTGCAGGTGTATGTACGTGATGTACGGGATATCAAAAACGGTGGATACGTGGGGGGAGTTTTATGTAGGTCAATCTTGAGAGAGTGGGAGACCTGCATCAAAGACGAGAAGGGGGAGGGATATTAATACATTATCTTATTAACAGCTTCCCGACGAAGAGGCTGATACGGCGATCTCAATCACAAGGGGGCACGTTCGGGAACGGCTAGACGTGCCATTAAGGTCGCATTCCCTGGGTGTAGTCTGCAGAGGGCGTCGATCGAGGGGAAGGGGGGCGTGGCAATCGTGGTAGTTGATCAGTTTGGTGATGGGGTTGAGAGAAACACGGCACGGCAGTGGCAGTGGATGACAGCCGTTCCAGCCCAATCTCTATCCCACACCCCTGTCGAGGCGAGGGGCATGGGTGAGGGTAGCCTCCGTGACGAGGGAAGCAAAGGCCCCCAAGGCCCCCCAAGCTTACCTTACCTGGTACCCCCGCCCACCTTGCTCATGAGGTGCAGCTAACACTCACTGTCCACTAATCCAGTGCTTTGTCACTACCTTACCTTACCTTAGGTGCTTAGTACCTAAGGATGGTACCTACCTAGTCGAATGCAGTGGCCGAAGCGAGCAATACATAGAAGCCCAGGCCCCACCACGGGCCACGGGTGACGGGCCAGCAAGATGCAATTCCAGCGGCATCCCCACGCTAGAATCCGGGGAACGACCCCTCCATCCACTCACGTCATTTTTTCGCTGTCGTTGTTTCCGACACCGGTGTCTCTTCCGCATTTTGGCGGGGTTACTCGTCTGGAATAGCAACTTTTTTTTTCTGGCACCACCGCAACTCCGTCTTCCGTGACTCATTAGAACAAGTCTCAGCCCTACATAAATCTAATTGATCTACCATTCGATTATCCGCCAAGAACCCTTCCTGTGTCTGTCATTTGTGCGAATCTCGCCCAAACCCAATTCACCCAATTCCAATTGAACCCGCCCGAAGAAACCGCTCCGCCCATCATGCCCTCCCGCGCCGACATCACCTACTTCGGCGCCGGCCCCGCGCTGCTGCCCACCGACGTCCTCGAGACGGCCTCGCAAGCCCTCCTCGACTTCAACGGCACCGGTCTGGGCATTGCAGAGCACTCTCACCGCAGCGAGATCGCCACCAAGATCATTGAGGAGGCCAAGGCCGACCTGGCCACCTACCTCGACATCCCCTCCGACTACGAGGTCCTATTCATGCAGGCCGGTGGTAGCGGCGAGTTCTCCGCCACCGTCTACAACTTTGTCGGCGCCTGGATCGCCCGCCAGCGCGACGCTGTCCTGGCCAACCTCGGTACCACCGATGAGAATGACGAAAAGGTCGTCGCCGAGCTCCGCAAGGTTGTCGACGAGAAGCTCAAGCTCGACTACCTCGTCACCGGAGGCTGGAGTCAAAAGGCCAGCGCCGAGGCTGCGAGGCTTCTCGGCCCAGAGTTCGTCAACGTCGCTGCCGACGCCCGCAAGATCAACGATGGCAAGTTTGGCAAGATCCCCGACGAGAAGGACTGGAAGCTCAGCAAGGACGCCGCCATGGTCTACTACTGCGACAACGAGACGGTCGACGGTGTCGAGTTCAACGGCTTCCCTAGTGCGCTGGCGCCCAAGGAGAATGGTGAGGGCCCCATTGTCGTGGCGGACATGTCGTCCAACATCCTCTCAAGGCGCATCCCCGTCAAGAACTTCAGTGCCATCTTCTTTGGTGCGCAGAAGAACCTTGGCTCGACTGGTATCACCGTCGTCGTCATCAAGAAGAGCCTTCTTGCCGCACAGCCCTCTCCTGCGCTTATGCGCAAGCTTGGTCTCCCTATCGCCCCCATTGTTCTCTCCTACGAGACCATTGCCAAGAATAACAGCTTGTACAACACATTGAGCATCTTTGAGTGAGTCATTCCTCTATATCTATCCACATTTTCTATCCACTCAACTAATCACCACTCTACAGTGTCTATATCGCCGGCCAGGTCCTCAAGAAGCTTCTCCGCACTTTCCAAAACAAGGTCGACGGCCAGGAGGCCATCGCTGATGAGAAGGCCTCTCTCATCTACTCCGCCCTCGAGGCTCACCCCGACATCTACCGCATCGTCCCCGACAAGAGCGTCCGCTCGCGCATGAACATCTGCTTCCGCGTCACCAAGGGCGGTGACACTGACGCCGCGGAGAAGGCCTTCCTCAAGGAGTCTACTGCCCAGGGCCTCACCGGCCTCAAGGGCCACCGCAGCGTCGGCGGTATTCGTGCCAGCAACTACAACTCTATCCCTCTCGAGGGTGCCCAAAAGCTGGCCAAGTTCATCGAGTCCTTTGCCCAGGCTTAAATTAGGATGATTCAGATGAGGATCCATTTAATACCGTCAACATAATGATACCATGTAAGAATATACATGAACCAAAAAAAGGGAGGGAACGGAATTGGGAAATGAAAATAGAGCATATTGGGAATATTTAGGGAGCCATAATTTGATTCAACATTTATGCCAGGGTATTATGGCTTCACGTTGCACACAGTTCTGCCTTGGTGAGTTGATTGTGAGAGGAGAGAAGGAAAGCGTTACCTTGATGGGTAGGTGTGTGGATGGATGACTGAGTTCCACTTTCGCAATTAGGTAGATTGATGGCACATTCAACAATATCTTCCCAAAATGGTAGGTGGTAGTGTCACCGCATGGAAACGCCTTACAAACAGCATCGGGGTTACCTAATTGAAGCTATCACGGGTATACCGGCTTTCACATGAGCCGAGTAACCTCAGAGAGCTTCAAGGTCAGGCAGCTACATCGGGAATTAAGACTACATGATTCAATACGATTTCATTCCAAATTCTCAGCAAGATAAATTGCTCACTTTCCCCCAAGTAAAACCTCCAAAGTGACACTTGCAAGTAAGGTAAGGTAGGTAGTTGAGAGAGAGGAATGACTATCATACATCGGCCCGGCGCCCATGTAATGGCCCGTGCGCACCGTCGGCAATATGTCCATCTTGCGGCTCCTTGCCAACTCTTCACCCACACACCCTTATCTTGTGGCTTCAAACAAGAACTGGGTACGGCCGCCGGGATGACTCCGGTCCCTTCATCACGCAGGAGCCGTCGCCGTAGAATCGCAGACGAGGATCGAAAGCGGGCACCTCGGGCCTGTACCCGTTGCAAGGCCCGTAAAAGCAAATGCATTGAGACGACGTCGGGTATATGCCAACGATGTCTTCAGGGGTCACACACTTGCAGCTTCGTCACGCAGCGGTTGAGCATATCCCCAGGAGTACTACAGTCGCCTATAAGAGACTACGATGAATCATTGGCAGAGCTGGGTCCCAGCCCGAGCCCCGATCCCCTTGCTGATGTCCCGGACACCACACAGTCATCCCGTCGGGATCTCTGCTCCGACAGTGACGCTCCCGAGAACTTCATGTGGCCACGATTTCTATCCAGACTTAGAAACGCATTCTATCTCGAGCCAAACTCGTCACCCGCCGAGAGAGAGATTGCTAGACTTGAAGCTCGCTCGTCGCGAGCCACTGCGTCTCACCAGTCTGCGGAAGCAATCCGCTTGCAGGCGGCCACTGAAAGCCTCCCACCCAGATCTGTAGCCATCTTTCTGAGCAAGCTCTGTATTCAACATGGAACCGACTGCTTCTTCTACTTTGATCAACCATCTTTCTTGGCTGAGGTGGAGGAGTTTTACAACGACTTGAGCTTACCTCTTCGTCGGGATCCCAGCTTCCTATGTCTTTTGCTGTCAGTTCTTGCTCTGGGAGCTCACTGGAGTCCGCGGGCCCGACCATCCGCTCTGTCTGGGTCTCTTCAAATTCCTGCGGAAGACCCTGGACAGGTATTTTGCGGTCATGCCCGGATCTTGATGGCAGACACCATGGATAGAGTGAGTATGTACTCTGTCAAAGCGGCGTTCGTCCTTGGGATATACCTTATGCCGTCGAGTGCGGTAGGGGCCTCATACCTGTATATGGGTCTTGCCTTGAGGAAAGCCATCGCTCTTGGACTGCATCATGAATCAGAAGAGCCGGACACTGACAGCCATGAGAGGGAAATGAGACGAAGGTTATGGTGGGCTATATTTTCTCTCGAAAGGTTAGTTGACTTGCCAGCACTCAGTTCTATCACGGTGAACCCGGACTGATATCCTCTGCGTAGAACTCTAACAATCAAGCTCAATCGACCGAGATCGATATCTCAGGATGTCATGACAGCTCATCTGCCTCAGCGCCGAGCAACTGATGCCCTGCAAAGCTTCGATAACTTGGATCACCAAGTAGCCAACGCGCAATTTGTCAAAATCATTGACACTCTCATTGAGCCGGCGTGAGTTATCTTTTGATGCATGCTATTGATTTTTCCCACTGACTCGAAATGGTCCAGTACGTGGTCAAGCAATTCTCAACCCCCTCTGCAAGACTTTGAGGTTTCACTAAAAACCTGGAAACGATCTCTGCCTCCCAACTTACGTCTCCCAAACGTGGAACCTCGCTCGCCATACTATCGCGCTGTATTCCACCTATACCTGAACTACTACTTTGCTTGGATTGCGATAGGTAAAACTTCTGTCGTTACAAAGATTCGGAGCCATTTACGGTCAGCTGCATCAGGCTTACCGGAGCCTCGAACGACGGAAGATGATGATATAACGCGGCAATTCAGATCATGTGGCATCGCGGCAAAGAAGATGTTGAACATACTCGAAGACGCTAGTCAATCTGGAAACATGGCCCCAAGATCCTTTACGGACTTTCAGGGTTGCAGTATCGCCACAATCATCGTGATCCTTACCGGCATTCTGGAGCGAGACTCGGCCTACGATGCCCGAGTCGCCTTCGGTCTGCGCTGTCTCAGAAGGATGGCTGACTTGCACATGGCTGGTCGAATGGCAGTACGATTTGTAGAGGCACTCATCTCCATCGCCGAGGAGGCACGGGCCAAGGTCAGGCCGTTCGGTTCGACACAATTCGATGGGGATGTCAGCCAAGAGGCTTCTGAGTACCTTCTCTGGACAGACTGGCTGAACAGGAACACAGACACATCTGGAACTGAAAGAAATCGATCCAATGCAACCAGACAACGGTCGCGTGCTCATTCAGAAGCTGCACAAGCTGCTTCTGGCGCATCGCCAATGTGGGAGGAAGCTGCTGCATTGCTCCAGCTTCGAAACCCATCTACACCCAACCAAGCACTCGTGGTTGAAGATGTTGCACTGCCAACGTCTGCGCCTGAGTTACCAGAAGAGGCACCGTTCGATCTAGGTCTGGATGCTGACTTCCCTCCGGCCACTTTTGCCGAGAATCACATGCAACTGATGGGTCTCACTGGTATGGACATGTTGGATTTTACATTTGACATCTAAATAAGGTACAGCAACAGCTCCAAAAGCAGCCAGAAGAAGATCTAGCCAGAATCTACCGGCCAATCTTACAGACGCCAGAAAAAGCCTGAATCAAGCTTCATTCGAAGGGTACAACACAGTGTCTGCGCCGACAAGGTCCTCCTTCATACTCCTCATGCTGGTAAAGCGTGTCAAAAGATTTACGCTGGTGGCCTTGTCATTGGTACCGCTCGCACGACCACCTCCGAAAGGCTGGTGCCCAACAACGGCACCGCTGCTCTTGCTGTTGACGTAGAAGTTGCCAGCCGCGTGGCGCAGCCCCTTTTCCGCCGCCTCAATGGCGCTCCGGTCGCGGGCAAAGACGGCGCCCGTCAGCCCGTACTGCGTCGTGGAGTCGATCATAGGGAGCATCTCCTCGTACTTCGCGTCCGGGTAGACGTGGACGGCGAGGATGGGGCCGAAGAGCTCGTTCCTCATGAGCTTGTGGTGGGCTTTGTTGGTCTGGAAGATGGTGGGCGAGACGAACCAGCCCTGGCTGTTGTCTGTGTGACCGCCGGCCAGCAACTCGACTGCGGGGTCCTTTTTGGCGTCCTCGATTACTTCGCGGAGTTTTGTCCACGAGCGCTCGTGGATGACGGGTCCGATGAAGTTGTCGACCTGCTCGGGGGAGCCGACTTTCAGGTTCTTCGTTTCCCGCAAAAGCATCTCCTTGAACTCTGGCCAGATGGACTCGGCGACGTAGAGACGCGACGTCGCAGAGCACTTTTGCCCCTGATACTCAAAGGCGCCCCGAACAGTATTCACCACCGCGTTCCGCACATCGGCGCTGCCGTGCACCAGGTGGAAGTTCTTGCCGCCCGTCTCGCCGATCATGCGCGGGTAGCTCTCGTACCGCCCCGAGGCGACTCCCTCGCCGATCTTGCCGTACAGCTGGCGGAAGACGTTCGTGGATCCGGTGAAGTGGAGCGCTGCGAACTGGGGGTGGTCGAGGACGGCCGAGGTGATTGCTTCGGGCTCGCCGGGGAGGAACTGGATCACGCCGGCGGGCAGGCCGGCCTCTTCAAAGACCTTTTGGAGGAGGTAGCTCGAGTAGATTGCGTAGTCGGAGGGTTTCCAGAGGACGACGTTGCCCATGATGGCGGGTGCGACGGTCAGGTTGGCGCCGATGGCGGTGAAGTTGAAGGGGCTGATGGCATAGACGAAGCCCTCTAGCGGTCGGTATTCTGTTCGACTGGTAGATACCGTTAGCTCGTGTACGATGTAACAAAATTTTCTCTCCCCTAGGTCGTTTAACAAGAAGAAGGGGACACTTACTTCATGAATCCGGCATCAGTCAACGCGTGCTGTTGGTCATACAGCTGAGCTGCGTAATGCACATTGAAACTACCGCATTCCATCAATGGTCAGCGAAAGCTTTTCTGGATTGCACGGAGTATCGAATCTGCTTCTCGTAAACGTACCGCAAGAAATCACAACTCTCCGCTGCCGAGTCAATTTCAGCCTGCCAAATATTCTTCCCCTGCCCGAGCATCGTCGCAGCCATAATGTCGTAGCGATACTTTCCCGCAATGAGCTCCGCCGCCCTAAGAAAGACGGCAGCCCTATCCTTGAAAGACGTGTTCTCCCACGCGGGTTTGGCTTCCAACGCCCTGTCAATGGCTATTGACACCTGCTCGGGGCTCGTCTGGGCGTATTCGGCCAACGCGACGGAGTGGTCGCTTGGTAGGTATTGCTTGGCTAGCACTGACTTTGCGTTTGTCTTTGGAAGCGACAGAGTATGTGAGTCCAATAGCCGAAAGGCTGCGAGTTATGGGCGAAGATGCCACTTACGATTTCAGGTGCCAGGGATGGTACTCGCACGGGAAGGTTACTCTTCAGCCGTGAGATCGCATGTTGGAGCTTCTGACGCTCGACTGAGCCCTTGCTATATGATGGCTTAGGGTCGTTTTGTCAGCTGATGCTTTAACCTATCGTGAGTCATTTTTACTGCAGAATACTTACATTTGGCTCGTTGCGGACTGGAGGTGCCTTGAAAGTGCCAAACCCCCTGGTGCTTCTTTCGAGTGGCCAAGAGTTGACTCCGAAGCGAGAGGATGGCGCTGTGAGCCGGCCTGCCTTTTGAAAAGGGGTCGTGAGACCTCGTACTAAAGAGACAGACATTTTGATGTGCCAGTAGTTTCGGAATTGGTTGTAGGTAAATTCTAACGTTCAAATGAAAGCAATACGAAAATCGACTATGAAGATTACATTTATATGTCTTGGGAGCCGCAATGCAGAGCTCCGGCATCGCGATACCGTTGCCGACACTTGTGGCACATTGCCGTGAGGTCGGCAACTTGACCAAGCGATAGTGTCGGTAGCCGATCCGTTGACCGGAATGGCCCCCACCGCTTCTTCTTATCCTAATGCATGTCACCAGCGGGGGAGTTCCATGTCCAAAAGTCTTTAACTGATATTGATTTACAATTTGCTCGCGCCGTGCGTACCAGTCTTACTTGGCTTGTCAAAGCCACCGAGTTTCTGCTGTCCAGCCCCTTTCGTTAATTCAACAACCGGATCTCCAATCGCTACCATGGGGACTACGGCCTTGGATTCATTCAAGGACATAACCTCGGGAGCTGCAGGAGGTATAGCGCAAGTTCTAATAGGTATGTAACTCGCCGTAATGAGTCTTGCATCTTGTAGGAATGGACTTGGCTTACACTGTCTTGCATAGGCCAACCTTTCGGTAAACCGACCCCTCTGCACTTCTACCCGTCAAAAGCCTCTTGAAACGCCATGAGGCTGTGGTATAAGTTCAATTACTTACCAAAGACTCTCAGACCTCGTAAAAGTGCGCCTTCAAACCCAAGGCGGAGGAGGAAATGCCCTAGGTCTAGTCCGCAGCATCTGGACTAAAGAAGGGCCTTTGGCTTTTTACAAGGTCAGCTTTGACTATTTATAGTCTATGAAATCGGTAGTTGACACTTAAATCCAGGGTACTCTAGCTCCGTTGCTAGGTGTAGGTGCTTGTGTAAGTTGTATAACCGCATTCAGGAAACGTGCTTCAGCCTGACCATATCAAACATTGAATAGGTCAGCATACAATTCGGCGCCTTTCAACTCTTCCGCCGGCGACTCGAAGAGTATCGCGAAATCTACTCAGCCGACGCTAAAACGAACAGCAAATCACTCTCCCTATCTGACTTCTACCTCGTGGGAGGAGCCGCGGGCCTGACCAACAGCATCATATCCGGACCAATCGAACATGTCCGAATCAGGCTCCAGACTCAGCCAAACGGCGCAGCCCGTCTATACTCTGGGCCCTGGGACTGCGTGCGCAAGATCACACAGCACTCCGGTATCAAGGGCCTGTATCGTGGGCAGGTCGTCACTCTTTTCAGAGAGTTCCACGGGTACGGCATCTGGTTTGCCGCGTATGAGGGATTTCTCAGTATGGCGATGTCGTGGGAAGGCGTCAAGGACAGAAGAGAACTAGCTAGCTGGAAGATTGCCGTCTGTGGAGGTCTTGCGGGCGAGGCGCTGTGGCTGGGGAGTCATCCGCTCGATGTGATCAAGAGTAAGATGCAGAGCGACGGCTTTGGGAGAGGCCAGAAGTACTTGACTATGCGAGACGCTTTCCGTCAGACTTGGAGAGAGGGTCGGTTTCGAGGACTATTTCGAGGACTTGTTCCAGCGTTGCTGAGGGCGATGCCTGTGTCTGCTGGGACTTTTGCAACGTAAGTGTTCTTGACCAGTTCACCATTCCGTTACTGCCATTCCTATACACGCTTTGGCATTGGCTAACACACACTTGCAGGGCTGAGCTTGTAAGAGGGGCTCTCAGTTGAAACTCCATGATATAGAGACGATCCATGTGATAGATATACAGTAGATCAAATTCCATAAAACCAGGCCTTAAATAAGTTTCATGTGTTCTTTTTCTTTCATGGCTTGAGAAATTATTCACTGCCCCCAGACTTTTTTATAAGTCCGCTGCCCTTCGAAACGTTGGCTATGTTATCTCCCGCACTATAAATGGACTGTTCAGTCAGGAAATGACCTTAACCGTTGCGTACCAATCCCTCAAACTCAGTTATTCTTCTGATTGTCAGTAGAGAGATGCTATCCCACAGCGCGTTACGCTTGCCGAAGGCTGCACTGGGAAGCGATTGGAATATGTCGCATTGCCGGTGGCACAGTGCCCGAAATCGGCTACGGTACACATGTCCGTCCGACGGTATCATGAGGGGTTGCCGCATCTAGATGTAGGATAACGCAGGTATTCAAATAGGCTCGCCCTACAATTTCTATCGCATAGTATCGAGTGAACCAAATTTCGCCGGATGCGACCCCAGTAGCGAACAATGTCTCTGTCGAACCCTCACAGCCAGCGGCTCGCAGCTCTTCTGAGCCGGCGACATCCAGCTGTTCACTATGCCAACAATGCGTCTCTTACACGTTTCCAGTCGCGATACGTATCCACCACTTCAGGGAACCCAGAAACATTGCCACCACACTCCAAGCTGCCCTTGAAGATTCTCTTGCGGTCCCTGTTGGTGGCAACCATTTCTTCCCACCGGATCTTGCTGGGCCCGTCTCTGGCTATTTTGAAATTCCTAAACGACTCGCACCGAACCTGGGTCTTTGACGTGCAAAGGAATCCTTTATTGCACGCTATACTAAAGAAGACCATGTACAACCACTTCTGCGCCGGCGAGAACCGACACGAGGTGACGTCGACGATTGCGGAGATCAAGCGCATGGGGTTTCGGGGAGCCATCCTCACGTACGCCCGCGAGATTGTGGTCGACAACACGACAGAAGAAGAGAGTGGTCGGGGGTTGAAGGAGATGGATTCCGCTTCAGAAATCGAGTCAGATGCTGGGATCGACGCTTGGCGTGAGGGTGTCTTGGAAACGGCGGATATGCTCAGTGAAGGAGATATCTTGGCTCTCAAGTTGGCGCCCCCGAACACATCAATATGCATTCTCATGATTTGCTGACTTTCTCCTCAGACTGACTGGTGCCGGTGCCGCCGTTTCAGAGGCGCTCACTTCGAGGAAGCCCCTGCCAGCGCAGATGGAGTCAGCTCTCGCAGACGTATGCTCTCGCGCGATGGAGCGTGGAGCACGCATCTTCATGGACGCCGAACAGATTTCAGTACAGCCCGGAATCGACGCAGTAGCAATAGACCTCATGCGCCGCTTCAACACGAAAGAAAGAGGCGCCGTCGTCTTCAACACCTACCAAGCCTATCTCAAGAGCACACCGGATACCCTGGCTCAGCACGTGGCGCTAGCTCACAGAGACAACTTTGTCCTCGGTATCAAACTGGTGCGAGGAGCTTATATCAGCTCAGAGCCAAGGCACATGATCAATGATACCAAGCAAGCAACCGACGACTCGTATGACTCTATTGCACGGGAGCTCTTGTCACAAGGTTACAGAGACTATGGCGTGCCGGGCGGGAAGTCATTCCCGGGCATCGAGTTGTTCCTTGCAACGCACAATAAGGACAGCGTCCTAAAGGCCAATGAGCTTCAGCAAACTCGCGCCAAGGAAGGGAAGGCCTTGATCAAGATTCAGTATGGGCAGCTTCTGGGCATGGCCGACGAAGTCAGCTTCAGTCTGCTCCAGCTTGCAGACCAGGGGTCCGATGCAAAGGGATCGGAAAGTGATGCCCCTATAGAGGTCTACAAGTGCTTGAGCTGGGGCTCTCTTGGTGATTGTACGTCGTATCTCTTGCGGCGGGCGGTCGAGAACCGGGATGCGGTATCTCGCACAAAGTCGGAGTTCACTGCGTTGAAGAACGAGTTATGGAGGAGGTTTGCATCTTCCAATTGATCATAGCAGGGAAAATAGAGATATCAAAGTCGCTCCATCGCACTCTTATCATCGTGGGGTTGACTAGGAGAGCCCACCGCTCCCTCAGTGTAAGTGAAAGATTGGTGAAGATGAGAATTAAGGGGGAAGAAAGGCAACATTTGGACTACGTAAATAAAGTAGTGGTCGGTGCTTTGACCAGGGAACCTCACACCCCCCGGCTAGAGAGCTCTCATTACCCGTACTTTATCCGAAAGAATGACAGAATGGAACCGAAGCTCCCTCTAAATGAGGGGCTCTCTCCACAGCCTGGAAGAGGTACCTGACCTGCCGCAAAGCCCCACCATCTCAACTCTCAAAGCCAACGCGCAAGCTACAAAACGACATCGTCACATCTCACCCAGCGCCCTCACCTCACTCACCCTCCGACCACCCCACTCCCTTCCGAAAGTCGACACCTAGACGGCATTCCCGACAACCCACCCAACATGGCAGCCAAAGGAGACAAGATTGAAAAGATCATCACGCGGCTCCAGGCCCGCATCGGCGAGGGCCAGTTCTACGAGGCCCAGCAGCAGACCCGTGTCGTCGCCGCCCGCTACATCAAGGCCGCGAACTGGCCAGCCGCCATCGATATTCTCTACAATGTCGCACAGTCCCTACTGAAAGCCGAACAGGGCGGCAGCGGCGGCGACCTGGCCGTCATGCTCGTCGACGTCTTCAAGCAGGCCGAGCTCAAGCCCGACGCCGCCAACAAGGGCAAGCTGCTCACCCTCCTGCGCCTGTTTGCCGCCCAGGAGCCCACGAGGAAGAAGTTTATCGGGGAGATTATTGCGTGAGTACCATGGATCTATTCTTTATGGGGCAGTACATCGGGGGGGTAGAAATACGATTAGTTGTTTCTAACTACTGGGGCTATAGATGGTCATCAAAGTTCGGCGAGTACCCTGCCGGCGATACCGACCTCCACCACGTCGCCGGATCCCTCTACGCCGAAGAACACGACGCCTACGAGGCGGAACGACACCTGGTGCTAGGAACAAAGGACTCGGCCGAGGTGCTCGCAAAGATGGAATACGTCTGGTACAAGGAGGACGACTCGCACACGGCGCCACTCTACGCCGCCCGCGCCATCTTCCCCTACCTCCTCGTCGGCAACGTCCGCGCCGCAAACACCTGCTACCGCCTCTTCGCCTCCTCCCTCAGCGATGACAACAAGGGCCTCGGCGTCCAGGACGTCAGCAGCAATAGCGCCGACTTGCGCATCTTCCCCGGCTTGCCCCTCCTCAACTTCCTCGGCCTGCTCCTGCTGGCGATCCAGCGCGGCGCCCCGGACGCCTACAAGCAGCTCCTGGCAAAGTACTCGTCCAACATTTCCGAGGTCAGCGCGTGGAGCGAGGCGCTCGAGATTATTGCCGAAATGTACTTTGGCATCTCGCGCCCAAGGCAGAGCAATCCGCTCATGGACATGATGGGCAGCCTGTTTGGTGGCGCCGGTGGTGGTGGCGCCACTCAGCAGAGACGTCCCGCAACAAGACGGGTGGAGGCACCCGCGGCTGAGGGCTTGGATTAGATGAAAAGGGTTTCCGTCGATTCGGCGTAGATGCCCACCGTGCGTAAGAGCGCGCTTCGTAATGAACCAGACGTTGAAAACATGTGTCGTCGAGGTAACGACCAGGATATCCAGATGGGAAACGCTGGGCATCGTGTTCAGAAGCCACGGGGCAGCTCCGGCTCGGCCTCGTACATCCAATTGTCGTCGGCGAGAGCCGAGACTTTGGCTCGTAAACTGGCTTTGACGGCTTCGAGGAGCTCTATTTCGTACAGGAGCCGGTTAGAAACCCCTTTTTCCTCCAATGAAGAGTTGGACACAGAAATATCTCGCAAGGGGGGACTCACCTTCGGGCTGTTCACGGACGGCAGTATGGTTGACTTGATGCTGCTTCACAGCCTCTGCGAGCCGCTGCCGCTCTTCTATAAAAGCATAGTTAGCATTACATATAAAAAATCAATACCCCTTTCAAAGAACTAGAAAACAAAGAGAAAATTGAACAAGAACAAGAACAAGAACCGTGAATAATCAAATCAAAACAAAAAAAAAAGAAAAAAAAGGTATGCCTTGGCTCTCGAAATCCACCCCTCCTCTCGCTGCCACAACTCCGCTGTGGCGATAGGCTGGTGATTGAAATCGCGCAGTAAAGCACAAAATCTCTCAGCT